GAGCCCGATGTGGGACTCGATCCCGGGACTCCAGGATCATGACCTGAGCCGAAGGCAGTCGCTTAACCAACTGAGCCACCCAGGCGCCCTGGACAGTATAGCTTTATAGCCCGCCTGCCTGGGTCTGAATCCCTTTTCTGCCACTTACCAAGTTATGTGGCCTTGGGCAAGCTATCTGACTGCACTGTGTCTTACTCTCCCCTCTGCAAGTTGAGGAAAATATTAATAGAACCAACTTCATATGGTTAATGTGAAGATTAAATTAGTTAATATTTGTAATATGCTTAGTTTTTTACATGGCACATACTAAACTATACAAGTGCTTATCAAATAAATGGTCCTTAAACTCCGGACAGGCTAAGTTTTAATTTTGTAAGAGGGAGAGGCCAGGGATATGCTGGGAAGAACCCAGTCCTGGAGTGTCCCTATCTGTAGGCTGTGCCTCTACCCCGTAGTTCTGCGTCATGAAATTGTCTTCAGGTCAGATGGACCTAATCTACTATTGCTGAAAAGAAGGCCCGCCTTCTGGAAGTGAGAAGAAATGTCAGCACCCGTGTGATAAGATAGGTTCCAGTCCATCAACAGGTGTGTCCTGAGCATCTGTCCTGCTTGGGGCTTGGAACTGTGCTGGGTGGTGCTGAAGAAGCAAAAGCATCCTCCGAAATGCTCCATCGTAAATTACATGACCTCATGTTGGAATGGGGGTTGAGGTCACTTCCAGCCCTTGGAGGTTTAAGCAATAGTCGTGCTGCTTATGCAAGAGAGGAAGCAGAGCTGTATTAGTGGCTTCTGATACCCTCCTCCAAGCTCTGCCAGCCCCAGCACTGCCAGCCTGCCTCTCTTGGCATTGGCCCCCGCCGCCTGCACCTGCCCTCAGCCACTCCACAGTGGTCACAGAGCACCCACTGTGTGCCTGGCACTGTGCCAGGGGGCGGCGGGAGAGATGTGGAACGGAAGACCTGGTGCCTGTCCTCAGGGGGCTTGCAGTCCAGCAGGGGAGACGGACTGAGCAGCAAACACCGAAAACCTGCAAGATTAAAGAAGGGCTAGTTAGAAGCACACACTAGTGCTGAGGGGATGCCTGGTAAAGGTGATTCCTTCTGATGGGGCTGGGAGGGGTCAGGGAAGGCTTCTCAGAGGAGGAGGCACTTGAGCTGGCTTTGAAGGATGGGTAGCGTTTTGATAGCTCTGTGTGTGTGTGTGTGTGTGCGCGTGCGCGCACGCAAGAGCAAGCGTGTGTGAACAGGAGCAAGAGGTGGGGCGGGAGAGAGGGAGAAATACAGGTGAGAAGATAGGAAAAGTGGTAATTTCAGAGTCATGGTCATAAAATTAGAGGAGGCGGGGTATATAGGCTTTATGAGTGAGGTGGATTTGAACTGGGTAATCTGGGCAAAATGAGGACTTTTTAAACATTTATTTTTAAATTCACGTACAGCAAAATTTACTCTTTCTAGCGTACAGTTCTCTGGGTTTTGACAACTGCAAAGTGTTGGGTATTCTCCAGCACGGTCAAGGTACAGAATGGCTCCATCTCCCCCAAAGATTCCCTCATGCTGACACCCCTTTGTTGTCTGTCCGTCTGTCCCCCTCCCCCTGTCCCCGACCCATGCCCATCCCCTGACAACATGGCTCTGTCCACTCCTGTCATTGTGCCTTTTCAAGAATATCAGATGGAGTCATACAGTATGTGGCTTTTGGGTCTGCTTCTTTCACTCAGCATGGTGCCTTGAGTCACCCAGTTGTGTGTATCAATAGCTTGTTCCTTTTCTTGCTGTGTAGGACTCCATTATATGCATACACTGCAGTGTGCTTATCCAGTCACTGGTGGACGGACTGTAGGTTGTTTCCAGCCTTTGTTGATTTTGAATAAAGCTGTTGTGAACATTTGTGTGCAGGTTTCTATGTGGACACAGGCCTTCATTTCTCTTGGATAAATAGCAAGGAGTGGGATTGCGGGTCCCCACGGTGGCGAACGTGCGACGGGTTAAGACACGCGCCGCTGTTGGCGTAAGCGTACCGCTCTGCAATGGTACCGGCGACGCGGGAGCGTTCTGGTGCTCCGATTCTTCAACAGCACTTGGTATTGTTGGCTTTTTGTTTCTGTCTTTGACAACGTAACCGGGGTGTAGTGGCATCTCATTATGGTTTTAATTTGCATTTCCTTAATGACCCGTGATGTTGAACATTTTTGTGTGTGTGCTTATTTGCCATTTATACAACTGCTTTGATGAAATGTCTATCCAAATCTTTTACCTGTTTTTTCTTTTGATGGTTATGTTTTGAGAGTTCTTTAATATTCTGGATACAAGTCCCTTGTCGGATGTGCGATTTACACATTTTTGGAGAAAATTCATTTAAGGAGAAAATCTCCACAAGAAGATGTTGGGTGTGAACGACTCTGAAAGCAAGGAAAGAGTTTGGTTGGTGTCCTGAGCCTTGGCCTTTCTTCAGGGGACCCAGGTGAGGCGGGGGCAGGGAACACCCAGGGAATGACCTGTGCAAAAGAAAGGAGGAGGCGGAGGAGGAGGGAACAAGGCCCTCTGTGAAGTTCTTTTCCTGGCTTAGCACCCGCCATAGAGTATGCTTCCGAATAGGGGGCACAGGTGGTTTCTTGGTTTCCTAGGTACCTGGTCTACTCCTCAGGGCCCCTGGCTCAAGCTGGGCCAGCCCCATCCAGAACAACAAATGCTTGTGCCCAGTCTGGGTACCAGCCATTTACATGGCCTTGTTACCAAACTGGATGACCATGCATTCTGGAATGGGAGGTGGGGTGATTATTGGGTCTGCAGGGGTAAGCCACTGGTAGGTGTGTGGCTGGTGCAAGAGAGAATCAGTGCGGTGAGATTTCTGGGTCAGGGTGGGTCCTCTGTGATGGCGACCTCAGCCTAGGGTCTGAGGGCTCTGGGCCATTAGAATCTCCAGAGCATTGCAGTCTGCATTTCCAGCCCTGTCCGGGCAGGGTAGCTCTGAGGCAGAAGAACATTTCTATGAAAGGTGACCAAGAGTAGGATAGGTGCTACCTCTCCTGCCTCTCGTCCAGATCAGCCTGTCCCCGCTCCTGTGTCCTGGCAGCTGGGGCACTGTCCAGATGCTGGAGCCTTCATTCTTCCCAGGGGCAGGCCCTTTCCAGAGATGATAAGACCTATAGGTGGAGAGAGGCCTACAGGAGCCCTGTAGGTTCCCTGCAGCTCCCTGATGCTCTGGGCCTTTGAGGGCTGTTCCCCAGTGCTGAGAGCTCCTCCCTGAGCAGGGTGTGCACTCAGAGCCCCCACCCTTGGTGCCTTGTGCTGCACACCCTGGGGTCCTGGCAGAGTGGGGCACAGTCACGTCTCTGGGAAAGCCGCCGACTGGAGCAAACCCACCCAAGGCTGGGGAAAACGAGCACTTGTTGAGTGGCAGCTGGGCTCAGGGAAATAAATTGGTTCAGTCCGTGCCCAGGGGGAGCCACTATTTGACGGAATTCAGTGGCAAAGCGTGTTAGGCAAAGACTCCCTAGTTCTGGGATCTACTTTGAGATCTGAATTTTCGTAGGACAGGACCACTTAAAGTGAAGTCCACTAGTTTGGTTCAGTACTTTTGCCTCTCTAGAACTTCGTAACCTTTGCTTTATTTTAGAATCCCGAAGAAAGGCCCCAAGGAGAAAAAAGTGCAAGTCTTACTCTCCTCATCTTAAAAAAAAAAAAAAAGTTAATAGCCTCACCACCCCCCCACGCCTTTATTTTTTTATTATTATTATTTTTTAGCAGTTTTGGGTTTACAGAAAAATGGAACAGAAAATGCAGTTTCTTCTCTTCTCCCCCACTTACTTATTCCCATTGTCGACGTCTTGCATTGGTGTGGCATATTTATTACGTTGATGAGCCAATATTGATACTTTATTATTAAAGTCCATAGTTTACATCTGGGGTTCACTCCTTGTGTTGTGTGTTCTGTGGGTTTTGACAAACGTGAATGTTAGGTATCCACTATTATAGTATTGTACAGAACAGTTTCACTGCCCTAAAAATCCCCTGTGCTCCACGTATCCCTCCATTGGTCCTTTTCCTGGGTCTGTGGTGCTGCCTTTTCCAGAATGTCCTGTGGTTGTGATCATACAGTGTGTATGTAGCCTTTTCAGATTGGCTTGTACTTAGCAAGATCCCTTTAAGATTCCTCCATGTCTTTTAGAGACTTATAGCTCATTTCTTTTTATCTCTGAATGATACTCCACTTTCCCCACCTTTTCTTTGTGTAAGTGGGGACACGGAAGTCCCGATAGGGGAATTAATCTGGTGAGGTTGAGCCTGGAGCCAGGTTTACCTTCCTTTGAGAACCTATTTGGAGGGGCTTCTGTGCAGGCACTGTGCCTAAAGCCCCATCACCGCTTCCTCAGCCCCTTTAGTGGCTCCGGGGCCAGCCCTGGGGTGGAGTGGGGAGTGGAGGCCGTGGACACCCACTTGCTGTGACCCAATTCCTGGATGTATTAGGGCCAGGCCCACAGACACCCACATCCCTGGCTGCTTGGAAGGGTGGCTGGGGCAGAGTCCCAGGTCCCAGCTCCTGGGAAGGTGGATCCCTGTCCTCATTTGCCCTCCTGACCACCTCCCCGCCCCGGGATTGGGGGTTCCGGGGAATGGGTGGAGGGCTTGGGGCTATATCCACGGATCATCCTCTTCAACTCTGACTTATCTACTGCCCCTCCCTGTTGAAGCTTCTCTCACCGGCCTGCTGTCTCCACACCCTCTCCTCCTCCTGTGCCCCTCATTCCTCCTGCTCCTTTCCTGTCCACTGCGTCCCAGAGGGACTCACTCCTCCCTCCCTTGCCCCCCTCCATCATTCCGCCAAGAACCACCAATGTTCGAGAAGCCCTCCCGAGAGCCAGCTTCTGTGCCTGTACGTGGGAGACACGATTGAACTGAATCCTCACAACAGTCCCATGAGGAGATAACATTATTACCTCTGGAATGTATTTGGGGGGGACAGGCTTGGAGAGGTCTATAGCTTGCCCAGGGTTACTGGCCAGTTGGAGGCCCAGCCAGGATCTGAGCCTGGCCTCTGACTCCAGAGCCCAAGCGGGCACCTCTGCCCCACAGCACCCCTCTCCTGGCCTGGTGGGTGGGCCCTCTGTGACTGGTTCCTTCTGACACACTGGTGGGATGGTGGGATCCTCCTTTGCCTTTTCTCTCACCCCTCCCCGCTCTTGTCCTGTCAAGGAGCAAGGTGTGGTAAGTGTCTTCGCACTGCAAGGTCAGTGAGGGTGGTGGGTGGTGCAGACCCACTGGGCTGTGTTCCACGTTCTTTACCTGTTCTGTCTCTGTCCTTCATCAGAAGCTCTGGGGAGGTTAAACAAGTTCCTGATCAGCCACATGTCTGGTAGGAGGTAGATTTTCCTTCAGGTCACATGACTCTGAAGCCTCTGCACAGCGGACCGGGCTCATGCCAGGCCTTCCCTGGAGCCTCGTGTGTGTTAGCGGACGAAGAGGCACCACTAGGGAGGCTGCTCTGGGGTGGGATTGGGACACCTAGGTTTTGTGTGGTTTTATTCTTTTTATAATAAAAGTGTTATTTGTTACATATATTTATGTATATGTATTACTCCAGCAAGCCCTGGCCGGCCATCTACAGTCACACTGGGGCCAGTTTTGTTCAGCTGAGTACATGGCTCAGCTCAGCCCATGGAGGTCCGTTTTTTGACTGGGTGTTTTCTCCTCCTTCGCTCCCTCTCTTTCCTTTCATCCCTAAGGACTTGCTGCCCGTGACCCAAATGCTGCCATCTTGTCTTTTCATTTCTAGCTATAAATAGGTCATTTTCCTGTGTCTCCTGTATTTTGGGCCCAGGTCCCTTAATCCCCTTCTCTGCCCACATCTCTCCCCCCTCCCCACATCTCCTGGTGCGCTTAAAAAAAAGTGTAAAATAACTGGACACATAAAATATTCATCGTTTTGTGACAGGCTTATTTCACTTAATATAATGTTTTCAAGGTTCATCCATGTTGCAGCATGTGCCAGAACTTCATTCTCTTTTTTCGGGCTGAGTAATATTGCATTGTATGGATTTGCCACATTTTGTGTCCATTCACCTGTTGATGGACATTTGGGCTGGTTCCACCTTTTGACATTTCTGTCTCCATGAGCTGTTGTATTCCCAGTACCTTGAGCTCAGGGTCTATTAAAATCCTGCCTCCTACCCCCAAGATATTCATCTATAATTGTTTAATGTGTTACCCTCCCTGAGTACACTTGATTCTTAGGATTCGTGGTAGTTCTGTAACGTCACCGAGCACACTGGATTAGCAGATACTGTACCACTGCTTCTAGCGGTTGGGGTGAGGTCCCTGGGAGCATCTGGTGCAGTGTTTTCAACTGATTAATTCATAACTTTTGTTTTATGTGTGTTTCTGTTCAAAGACACCTTATTTCTTTCATAGATATTACTGATTTCTTACCCTTGAACTCACAGCGGACAGCATTGTAGGTCACACCCGAAGCTTATCACGCTCCCGTCTCGTCTCCAGAGGGCACACCGCAGCCTTCTTGCACTTAGGAACACGAGCCCGCGCTGCAGCACTGCGCTTGGGAGGGCCTGATTAAACTGCGAAATCAATAGCAAAAAGTACAAAGATGCGAACCAGGTGGCACCGAAGAGACCGTGCAAAGGCCTGTCGTTTCTAGTGTGAGCACTGGAGCCAGAAGGCCGAGTGTAGCCTTGTTCCCCCTGGGCTGGGAATGCGTGCGATGGCAGCTCCCAGTTTCGGTGGTGCGGAGCGTGTGTGTATCTGCAGATAACCACAGAAGCACTGCAGGTATGGATCTTGGGCTTCCAAATGTTAGTGAGTAGGCACATTTGCAAATACAGAATCTGTGAATATTCTGTGAGTACGAAGGATAGACTGTACTTGCATCTTCTCGGGAAACCCTGGACCCCCACCCCCACGAGGCTGAAGGATGTTGAGGGCAGGACTATGTCATTGGTGACCTTGTACCCAATGCCTGGCAATATAGTAGGTGCTCAGTATACAGTTGTGAATGAAGGAGTGGACGACTCCAAGGGCTAAAGCCCTAATGGTGTCAGGCGTGAAAATAGGAAGGAGGGATCTTTCTGGCTGCGGAACCTGCTTATCCACATGTGTGGGTTGCCTGCTGCCCTCCTTCCTAGGAACCAACTCTCTCCTCTTCCAGAGGCATCCAGATGATGGCCATGGCCATTGCAATTGTGTAGCAAAAAAGTGCAGGGCTGAGGCTGAGTTCTGGTCCCAGTTTTAACTAGCCATGGGGCCTTTTGGCAAGTCGTTTTACCTCTCAGGACTGTAAGGTGGAGGATAACTTTCTCCTCTGGGGTTTTCCTCATGCACACAAACCTTGGGATGCCCACATGTCCCAGTTGGGACCTTCACCAGAGGCTGTGGGGGCCTCTAGCTCCCCTTCGCTGGTCAGTCCTGGCGCCAGTACCCATCCCTGTTACTCTTCACATTTAACTTAAA